TTTTTTTTTTTTTTTTTTTTTTTTTTTAATAAATCTCATACTCCTTGTGCTTAAGTAAGTTTCTTCGTTGTAAAACGAATATAAAATGTTACAATGATACACAGGCAAAAATGTCGTTGCTTGTTAAATGCATATACGTTGTTAAACATTAAATATTATTATACTCGATTTATCATTATCTATAAGGTGTTCGAGAATTATATATCAATATTGATTATTATTGATTATATTTGATTATTAAGTTTTTAATTTTTAATGCTGGTACATTATAAGAAAAATTTGAGAAAACCAAAATTTATCGTATCTATAAGATTGTCATTTTTGTTGTGCGATGCATAACGGATTACCAATCTATGGAAGAATTATAATATATATAGATAATAGTTTTATTTCTTTATTCTATACAAATTTTTATTTTTATTTTATCATTAAATCTGTCAAATAATTTTCGAACACCGTATTTCATTTCTTTGCATCATTAATAAATTTTATCATTTCCTTTAAATTACGTTTAATATTATTATATTTATTTTTCTCAAGATATTTCATCCTAAAAAAAAAACTTAGTTAAGTTCCATCGAAAGGAAAAAGAGAAGACTTACCATTAGCAGTGCCATCAGTTAAATTTTGCACTGATTATTTTATGACTCGTAAACAAATTTATAAATAAAAAAAATGAAATTTGAAATATATTTTAACATATTGATATAATTTAAATATTAAAAATTTCAGTAAAAAAAAAAAACTATATCGACTCTAATCTTTTCTAATTTTTAATTAGAAACATTTTTTTAAGCAATGATCCAGTATCCGTACAAATTTATTGAGTATAAATTTATAACTTTCAAAATTTTCACATACTTCTTTAGAAAGTAACTCTTACTCTGCTTATTCAATTAGTTTATCCATTGTTTCTAATTGACCAGTCAACCAGTTGAATATTAATAATCCATAACAAGAATTTTAAGATAAGTTATGTGGATTAAGAATTTTTATAAAGGTTTACATATATGTAAGTATATACATATACCTACAAACGTTTAATTCTAATAAAATATCGTATTAGCTTGATCACTATGACCATTTGTCCAATTTATTTTGCACAAAAGTGATTTAAATAACATGTATAATCACCTACGATTAAATACCATCATTCTTATACTCTTCCTAAATTTCAGACTTAGAAACATGCCATACAAACTGTATTACACCAATAATCTACAGAACCGTTGCCACGATATCTCATTTTACTTGAACAAACTGTATTTAAAAAAAAATCTAATTGAAAAATTTATCAAATTCTTTCTTCGAATGGAAACAGCAAACCAATCAGAATTATACGTATTATTACTTTATAAGTAATCGAAATCCTCAGGATATCTATTCAATCAAGTTTAAAAGAGGAACCTTCTGTAATCATTTCCTCAATTCCAAAAGCAAAACCTCTTGAAACATTTCGATTCATAGTTTCACACCACCAGAAAAGTCTTCCCTTCCTTTTCACGCTCGAAAAAAAATCTTCTCGAGAACACGAGAGAGAGAGATAGAAAGAGAGAGAAAGAAAGAGAAAGAGAAGCGCACAAACAGGATCCGTTAATTTCATTCATCACCAGAATCTGTGTATCCACTAGCGCCTCGTCTGAACGTCGATCGTCGCGCCACCAGCGTTCCAGTTCGCTTCAAATTATCCACTAGACACTAGTCGAATCTAGTAAATTCAGGTGGCAGTCTCGTACGGTACCTTACTCGTGGGCAGGCCGAATGAGAATCCGGCGTAAAGCGGTCTAGGTACCAGAAGGTGGCCCGAAGATCTCTTCTCGTCCTCGGAGTTACTTGAAATCTGTTCATCGTCCGGCGCGATAATATTCTCGATAGTGAACGGTTTCTTCTTCTTCTTCTGTCCAGGCTGGATACTCGTCTGATTGGAAATTCCAGCCTCCAACGGCGGACAACGAACTT